ACGCGGTTGCAATCGCATTCTACATGTCCCTAGTTCGTCAATCCTTATTCAGACACCAGGTGGCGCAGGGGTGGGGGCGCTGATGTGCGAGCGGGCGGAGGTGCGGGTAGCGTGGGGCGGCGATAAGCAGGCGGCGGAGGGCGAGCGAAAAGGTGCGGTGAGGACGCGATTACACAGGAGGGGCAGGACTCGGAGCTGGAGGGCGCGTGTCAACACCGCGCAACGTGTCCCAGTAGGAATGCAGTTTTGAACCGACGATTCAGTAGGCCCGGATCTGGCTCCCGAGATACTGTTGGAACTCAGAACGCGAAGATTCAAATTTCATTCGTCCAATTCGCAATCCTAGAGGCTGTTGCTAACCCGAAAAGAGATTATCCGTTTGTTCGGCATATTGAATTTCAGGTTTCCCCATGTAGCTAGAGAGTGGCGAGCTGCAAGGCGAACTGCGCATTAGCGACTGAGAGACGAAATGTTCGCACCCACGATCTACAATAAGGCCCCGTATACGGCGTACATCCTATCCGTCGGTGACCACGCTCTCGTAATTACCGCCATGGATACTATCGCTGTAGATCCTACGGATTACGCCTCCCTTCCAGTTCTTTCAGAGATTGAGGAGCTGAAGAAATTCATTGAGTCAGACAGTCAAATGTACACGAATCAGCTGTTCATGATTGATTGATATTTCAGAGTTGTTACTGTATGTAGCCAGTAAGGCGAAGACAGCAGTACGAGTAGGGGTTGAGGTAGGTAATCGTTGGGTTAGTGGTAGGGTAATGTAAGATGAAGAGAGGAGTAACAGTAAAGTGGTGAAATTGGTGGGGTACGAATCACGAATTAGGTTATCATGGTGCGAGTTCAGATTGTGTCGGGGACGGGTTGGGGTTGTGAGGTTATTATTAGTTGGGACGTAAGGTAGGGGAGATGGGGAACGAGGCAATGAGAGAGAGAGAGAGAAAGAAAGAAAATGAGATCACAGACATGTAGCTCGTAACCGGTCAACGGTGATCAAGGCGGGGGGCTAGGCCGCGAAAATCGTCCCGTAGACTTGATAAATTTTGACATGCTGGGGAGCAGTTTGGGGTGGGTGAGGAGCGGTGAGAGATGTAGGGTACCAAAGTGGCCGATTGGACGACAACGGTTTGCCTTTGGCACTACATATACGCAGTTTTTTTTTTCTCCGCTGGAACTCGCCGCGAACGACACCTAGGTTCCGAACCATCAGCGGATACTCTAGATAATCAACAAGTGGCTTCAGCGATCACCGGTCTATTTCGAAATCGACAACTCCCCAGCTCTTGTCCTCACCCACGTGATGAACACCCACGCCGGCTTCAGCGCTTTCCTCAACAAAAAGCTCAACGGCTATCTGAAGCGGTCGTTCGATAGATGGGGCATTTACCTCACGACGCCCGCCTCCGCCAATGTCCTCACTGCGGGCAAGGGCGGTGGGTTCAGTAAACTTGCACTAGCAGGCATGATGGAGCATTTTACGGGTCTCACATTCGAGCAAGTCTTTGTGTCCTATCCCGCCGCGCCGCACTACGGGTTCACATGCTGGAATGACCTTTTCACCCGCAAACTGCGCTCCGGTATCCGCCCCGTCGAACACCGAGAAAGCCCAGACATCATTAGCGCAGCGTGTGAGAGCCAGTATTACAATGTTGCCACGAACATGAAGGAGCGCGACACGTTCTGGCTCAATGGCCAGTCGTACTCGTTGCGGGACATGCTGGCCCACGATGAGTTATATCAGGGATACCTGCTGGTCACCTACTACCACCGCTGGCACACACCCGCCGCCGGGGTCGTCAAGAAAATTGTTGCAGTTCCCGGGGCGTATTTTTGCCAATCGCCTGCGATGCTTCAGTCGCCCATCCCGTTGGATGCGCCGTTCGACACCCTCCCGATCTCCAATTCCCTGTCCTTCTTGCCATAGTGAGCCCACGTCTCCTCATGTTCATCGAGGCAGAGGACCCGCGCATCGGCCTGTACTGCTTCATCGTCATCGGGATGCAGGAGATTTCTACGGCGGTGCCGACGGTGAAGGAGAGGCAATGGGTGAAGCGAGGGGAAGAGCTGGGAACGATTTTCTATCGGCGCAGGTACAGATGTGGAGGTGCTCGAGCATGGTGATGCTGTGGGCGTGCATGGGCGCAGGAAGGAGGAATCTGTGGGGCGGAGTACCCCAGCTGTGGACACTGGAGGAGGCGGTGTCCGTGGCTGTGGACGGGATGCCTCCTGCGGACGTAGCCTCGAGCGCTTCTCCATTGCCCGACGAGGAGACGCTGCCACCTGCAGATGTGGATCCTTCGGAAGTACATGGCGAATCTTCCGCGGATAATGCGGTGTACGACCACGCGCGTGTGGATAGCGAGGACGCGCTCCTTCTGACTGTCGGTGAGGAGGAGCAATCTGACCGTCGCCCGCGAGCTCAAGCCCAAGCACGATCTGAGAAGCCTGAGGAGCCTGAAGTGACGCTGGAGATTCCGCCGCATGTCCTCGTGGAGGAGAGACGGCCTCCATGCCCGTCGAGCCCGATGTGTCACCCGGGTGTCACTCTCACCATGCAAGCGTGTTTTCTCGCTTCGCTTTGCTTGCCTCGAAAGTCTAATATTTACTTTACCTTTAATTTTGGCAACACTTCAATGCAGTTCATAGCGGATGATAATCAATCCATCAGTCGACTTGATTTCTACAATTCCAGTACTACGTGCTGGAATTCAGGTCTGTGATTAGGCTGTCCGATGAAGGGAATGAAGGGAAACGGCGGGGTGGGGGGGACGAAGCAAGTATAAAGCACGAAGAGCTACGGAGGAGACAAGCCTTAAATGGGAGGGGGAGAGAAATATACGAGGAACGAAGCAAGCAAAATACACCTTGCCGACCCGCCTCCTCAAATCCACCCGCTCCACTTTATCGTGGCACACGAATCCGATCAGCATGCTCGTGTCAAGCTCCGGCAGCGGTATCTTGCGCACGCGCGAGCAGCTCGGCCGCGCGCACGTAGTGCGCCGCCTTAGCCTCGGCGCCTGCCTGTGCCCCTGCGCGTGCACAAAGTCTGGGCTCATCGACCCCCCGCGGCGCCGGCGCGTCAAGGAGCCAAGAACCAGGAAAAGACACGCGCACGCGTGACGCGGGGCGAGGACGGCGGGCGCACGCGTCTACGCAGCGAAGGAGATGGATGTGGGGGGATCTGGATGAGAAAGAGGGTGTCAGTATGTGGCGGACGATGAGGGAAGCGAAGAAGACGGAAAAATGGGCGCGAGCGCAGCAAGGCAAGGGTGCAGAGGGACGCCGCATGGAGTAACAGGGAGGCGCGGCGCAGAGTGTCGAGCTCGTGCCCGCAGTCGCGACCGAAAGAGATAAAGAAGTCACCACACGCCGCTCGTTCACCCCTCTCGTGTCCCGCCACCTCGTGCTGCTGGCCAACTGCTGGCACTGCTGATATCGTTGGAGTATGATTTGATGCTGCTGTAGCTCGTGTAGGATGAATGCGACGAGGAGCACTAATCGGATTCGCTGGGTGAATGCGGGCCGGCAGGAGAAGGAGAGGTTGGAGCGCGCGTAACCCGCGCGGTAGGCGCACCAAGTGCAATGTACGGCGAAGATTGGGTCATGAGACAGAACGAGGAACGAGAGATGGAGTTTGTCAAGAGAGACTAGACGAGGTGTGCGCGTGTTTGACTGGCGTGCGATCGGACCGATCGCCGACTTCCTCCTGCCGAATACTCCAATCGGGCCATTCCTCATTCTTGTCTACGACACGTCCTCTGCTCTGTGAGATGAACCGCGTCAAGGATCGGAAAAGCTGGAACCTCGGGCGTCGGTCGAAGGTTGGGCCAGTCACGTGAGGAAAAGTCTACCCGGAGCGTAAATGTCGGGGGGCCAAGCGGGATATCGAAAGAGAGGCGGAGAATATAGACACACGTGGGCGGGACGAATACCGCGGCAGGTGTAGAGCAGACGGGAGCGGCTGCGCAGGTATAGAGCGAGGGCACGTCCGTCTAAATGATCCTCTCTCCATGATAGTTGTTCGGCAGGGAACACTCGGATCCCGACGCATACACTGATGAGTTCAGAATAATTATGTCGCCCCATAAGTAAGATCTTTCTATCACTCTCTGTATACCACAGTCGAACAAGAGTTAGAAATGGTAGCATGGTGTACGGTGCGCGCGGGGGTCCTATATGCAATGTAGTCGAGGAATTTCACCGAGATCCTCGTTCGATTCGAGGCGCTGCTATATACTTGAGCTTCCCATGTTTTTATTTGTTTCGCTCACCAATTTCTAGCACCCCACCGATCTCAAAACAGAATAAAGAAAGCAGTATGGTGTATCGTGCACGCGGGGTTCCCTCATGATGGGGCACTTGTCTGTGATCCCCGAGGTCCTCGTTCGACTCGAGGTGCTGCTCTCAGTCTTGAGGATTTTCAACTCTTTTATTCCTGGACTCAGAAATTTTGCTAGCACCTCACCAAGGTCAAAAAAAGGTAAGAGAGGCTGTATGGTGTATTGTGCATGCGGGAGTCTCGTACGGCGTAGGTAAATGGATTAACCACGAGGTCCTCGTTCGAATCGAGGTGCTGCTCTTCTGTATCGTTGCAAAAATTTATTCCTTGACTCGATAATTTTGCCGGCAGTAAAACAACCTTCAAACAGGTCCAGTAAGTAGTATGGTGTGTCGTGCACACGGGGTTCCATTAAACAAAGTCCCATGGGATTTCCCCGAGGTCCTCGTTCGATTCCAGGCCCACCGTCCCACAATTTTTTGTCTCTCGGCTCACCTATTTTGCTAGCGCACGACCAGCTCCGAATGAGGGTAAAGAAAGTATGGTGTATCGTGCATACGGGTTTCTCGTCGCAGTAATTGAATTATTAGCCCCGGGATCTTCGTTCGAATCGAGGGTACTGATCTGGGTCCGGTGTTCGAAACAGTTTTATTTCATTGCTCACCAATCTTATAGCACTAACCCAAGTACAAAGAAAGGCAAGGGAAGCAGTATGGTGTATTCCGCACACGGGGTCTCTCAGTGGCAGGAAGAACCAAGATTAACCCCGAGGTCCTCGTTCGAGTCGAGGTACTGCTCTGCTATGAATCGACGTGGCCTCGCCTTTTTATCCCTCACCTCATCCATTTTTCTAGCACCCCATCAAGCACAAAACATGGTAAAGGAAGCATTATGGTGTATCGTGCACCCGGAGTTTCCTTAAACGGGTCGGAAAATGTACCCCCGAGGTTCTCGTTCGATTCGAGGTGTTACTCTGCCCTGAGTCTACCAATCTTTTTATTTCTTTGCTCACCAATTTTCTAGCACCTCACCCACTCCGAGATAAGATACAGGAAGCAGTATGGTACGGCGTGCACACGGGGCTCTTTTAGGATGAGATAGGAGTACACCCTGAGGTTCTCGTTCGATTCGAGGTACTGCTCTTCCATCCCCACTTCATTTTGTTCGTCACCTCACCAGATTTTGCTAACACCCGACCGAGTTCAAAACAGGGGAATGAACGCAATATGGTGTATCTTGCACACGGAGCTCTCTTAGAAAAGGTCCGAGAAGAATAATCCCCGAGGTCCTCGTTCGAGTCGAGGTACTGCTCTGGTACGATGGCGGCCTCGCCTTTTTATCCCTCACCTCACCCATTTTGCTAGCACCCCACCAAGCACAAAACATGGTAAAGGAAGCAGTATGGTGTATCGTGCACACGGGGTTTCTTTGAACGGGAGGAAATATACCCCCGAGGTCCTCGTTCGAATCGAGGGTACTGCTCTATTTTGGGTCGACCAGTCGTTTTATTTCTTACTCCGAAATAAGAAGCAGTATGGTGTAGTGTGCACACAGGGCTCTCTTAGGATGAGATAGTAGTACACCTTGGTTAGCACGCCAAGCCCGAGGTCCTCCTCGTTCAATCCGAGGCGTGATTGTGTTGAGTACATACATATTTTTATTCCTTGGCTCACCAATTTTACTAGCACCCCACCAAGTCAGAAATAGAGAAAGGAAAGCAGTATGGTGTATTGTGCACGCGGAGCTCTCATATACAATTGGAGAATGAATTTACCCCGAGGACCTCGTTCGAATTGAGGTGCTGCTATTCGACGTCTGTCGCTTCTTTTAATTCCTTGGCTCACTAATTCTCTAGTACCCCACCGACCTCAAAACAGGGTAAGGAAAGCAGTATAGTGCATCAAGCACACGGGGGCTCCCTACTAGGTCGGTGAAGGGTACACTCCGAGGTCCTCGTTCGATTCGAGGTACTGCTCTAGCCGAGCCTCTTGTTCGTTTTACTTCCCAGCTCACCAATTTTCTAACAGCCCACCAGCCATAAACCAGGGTAAGAGAGGCAGTATGGTGTATCATGCGCACAGGGTTCTCTTTGAATGAGGGAAAGCTCATCCCCGAGAGCTTCGTTCGAATCGGGGTGCTGCTCTGATTGGCTTGTACAGTATGATTTTTATTTCCTGGCTCACCTATGTTTTGGCACACCACCGAGCACAACATGTGGTTCCTGTAGTGGTTGCTGCAATGAGTAGCCCTGAGCTTCTCCTTCGAGTCGAGCTGCTCTGGATTTGCACGTCCTATTCTTATAGCTCAAGCTCTAATCGCCCCGAGGTCCTTGTTTACTCACCAATCTTATAGCACTAAACCAAGTACGAAACAAAACAAGGGAAGCAGTATGTATGGTGTATTCCGCACACGGGGGTCTCTTACAGGCAGTTTGAACCTAGATCAACCCCGAAGTCCTCGTTCGAATCAAGATGCTGCTCTTTTCCTGCTGTCTCTTTTTATAATGAACTATCCAGGTCAGGACTTTCTAGCACCCCGCCTACCTCTAAACAGGGCAAGCAATGCCGTATGCTGTATTCTTTACACGGGGCTTCCCTTTGCAGAGGATGAATTCTTTTTTTGGGAGGGCCCCGAGGACGTGCTGCTCTAATACCGTTGTCGGTGGTTCTTTGAATTTGTGAACCTTGTCACACCGACCATCTACAAGCCGCACACGCACAACTAGTGATGGACCCGCTTTGGCCTGAGGCCAAAAAGCCGGGGCTTTTTGGCTTTGGTACCAAGGCCAAAGCCAAGCCAAAATGTTGGCCTGAGATGGCTTTTGGCCTGGCCTTGCATTTGGTCGGGCCAAAGCCAGGTCAAAAAGCCGTGGCTTTTGAACCTTTCCCCCTACACTGAAGAGACTCAAAAAACTAACAAAATGCCCACTCACATACAATGCACATAACACATTTCAACCAATTCCCATCATTCCGGCCGGCATATACGATGTTTCCCACCACAAATTCCCGAAGAAGACCTGAAGAAGAGCTAAGAAATATCAAATATCAAATTTACGAGCTCTGTTGGACTTTAAATCCATCCCAGGGTACTTACGTACCTTGGGAAAGACAGATTTCGGGTACCAACAATTATTTGTGACACTGTGAGTCTTCCATTTTGTACGATTTACAACTTGGTGAAAAGCCGTGGCTCAGGCCAAAGCCAAGCCGGACCAAGCTAAAGCTAAATGTGGTGGCCCGGCCTGGTAATTCACGGGGTCAAGACCACTTCAAGCCGGGCCAAAGCCACGGCTTCCAGACCAAGCCAAAGCCTGTCCACCACTACGAGCAACGAACGGCGAACGCGCCGCCGTCTCCGGGCGTGCGGCATGCAGGCGTATCTGAGGTTTTAATATATCGCGAGCCTCTGGTGTGAGGAAGCACCGCCGCCCACTGCCCGCGGCGCGACATGTCGAAGAACGCGTCCCAATGCCCTCAAAGCACGCTTCCGCCGACCAGAGATCAATCAACAGCCTGCCGACGGGTGTTATCGCGGCATTTTGAAGCACCGTACGCGTTCTCCCACCACGGATAGGCTTCCTTGACGCGCTAAATTGACCAGCATCACCTCCAACGCGCATCCGTTCATCGCCAACGACTGAATTCACATGCACCAGCTTCGGTAGAGCGCCAATAATCCGGATCCACGTTCCCCGCCCCCGAATCGCCGCCGAAACGCGTCAAACTTAAGTTTGACGCGTACACCACGCGTCTGGTGCCCAACGAGGCTCCAGCCAACACTCTCAACGGTAAAACTCGGACTCTCACCGAGGGAAACACGAAGTGCATGGAATCCTCTCCGATTCTGACTCGGATGTGTTATCAGACTCGGAAGAGCTTACTGGGCTTCGCGATTCGGGGGAGGGAAACACAGCCGGTAAGTGAACTGTTTATTTACCGAGTTCATGCGACCAATTTGCCAGATCCCCGTGAATCCTCGCCTCTCCCGTGTCTGAGATGCAAAGCGGAACATCTTAAACAGCAACAGGTATGCCGAATCACCCTTGCAGAATGCATCTGATTCTTTCGTCGCCTTGGATTTCGATAGCTCCTTCTCCGATCATGAGTCCGACGCGATGACCGAAGACCTCCGTGGCAAGATGAGCGCAGGGCACGTAAGGTGAAGTACGCTGATGCTTAGGTGATATCCCTTCTGTTTCCGTTCCATTTTCTTCACTCAATTGTGCCGCAGCTTACAGACAAGCGTTAGCGTAGAATGATTTCGGTTGAACTCCGTACTTGGTTCATACTCATATATTTTGTCGTATTGTATAGGATGTTCTAACTAAGGAAAACTGAGATATGTGGCGGATATTATCCTCGATGTGAAGTAATTTTACGGTCTGAAACTCTTCCTGCAGGATGGACGCTCGTCGTTCACGGTTCAGCCCGTAAATCAGAGAGTCATGTGACAATGTGCCGAACATCCGAATATGTGCGGCATTAGTGCCGCACGCGGTGTGCCGCTGTTGGCAACAATGTGCCGTAGATGTCATCAAAGTGTCGCACATGGAATGCATGTGCCGGACTTGGCGTGTGCCGTGTGTGTCGCGTTTGGGACAATCCCGGGCGAGTCCCAGTCCCATTCTTCTAGTATAGACTCTTATATTGTAGAGGAATTTGTAGTGTCCCGAAGCTTTTCACGGCTTACGAAATGATCCATTATTGTCTGGAACGACAAAGAGGGATATTAGCGTCATCTGTTCACTTGGAATACGGAGACTAACATGTGTGTAAATTCGCCCGATTGGGAGGGTAAACAGCGACGTCATGTACGTGTCAGCCGAGAAGCGGGAGGAAAAGAGGATTCCCAGTGCAAATACGGCTGATACTACGTTAGATGCTTCGCTATGGAGTGCCAGACTACTCACCTGTGAAGAAACCTGATCGCACTGCGGTACGAATCAAGCGATTGAACACCTTGTCCGTCCTTGCGAACGTTGTTTTCGATTTGTGTAAACAACGGTGAGCACAACTCAAATTAGGACCTTAGCCCGCAGTGTCATGCGACAAGGAATAGATACAGCTCACCAGCGATGATCACGTCAATGGCACACTGAAGCGCAGAATTGACCATAATGATTGACTGCAACAATACGAGGTTGGCCTGTCTGTGGCTTTGAAATGACATTGGTCCCGGCAACTGTTGTGCCGTTAGGAGAGGAGGATATGTACGCACTCGGAAAATGTCCACGCCTCGATTGCAGCGGCAACGCCCGTTCCACAGGCCACCACAGAGGTTGCCACCAAGAACCCGGTGAGAATTTTGTTTCCGGTGAACAAATATATCCTCCACGATTGTAACATTTGATTTGTGATTGCGAGGATGGCCCCTGCTGTAAGGGGTTGAGTATGGATGAGGCGAATGGGATTTGTCTTACTAAGACCTGCGAAGGAATACGGCCATAGAAAGACTGAATAAACGGATTCAGCTGGGTTCTCCTCTGCGGTAGAGAATTCTTACTGGCAACCACTCGAGGGTTTGCAAAGTTCATTACAAATAGATGAGCTCCCCACCATCGCTCTCAAAGTTTTACGAACGTAACACAGTTAACCTGGATGTAATAACAGTCAACAATCGATCCAGCGACATGTTGAGAAATTTACCATGAAATTACACGACGGCACCAGCCTGGGTAGTGTTGACTATAAACAAAAAGCCACCAATAATCTGCAAATTCATGAGGTGCGCGAACGACAGACAAGGAATTGGTACTGATCCACCGTGGATCTTGGTACCCTAAGACATTTCCAGGTTTGGGATTCGAAATGTGTGGATCAAACATCGCCAGAAACGCACCTGCAATCCAGTATGTAAAAAACTGGGACATGATTAACCCCGTGAGGTACGTGTTGACTGAAGTTAACACTCAGGGTTCTTTCAGCGGGGAGGCAGCCAGAAACTCACCGGTCACACCCATCAGGGCAAACCCTGGAAAGTAAAGGTGAAGACCTTGTTAGCCGTGAAATGAACAAGCAATGTAGAACGAACCGATAGTTTGATCGTACTCCCCCATAGCTGGTATGAACACAACAGAAAAATACTATAGTGCGGAGAGTCAAGGGCAAGAAATGGACGGGCGAGTGCCGAAATTGCATATGAATGAGGATCTTTAAGGCATCGCCGAAGCTGACGTACAATATGGACATACGGGAAGTTCGTGGGAAGCAAAACAATGCGACGTTAATTCCGAACCCTGCAGATCGTAAACACGATGTAGAAAAAGAAAACCCTGGCCAGCCCTGGCTTAGTAACTGCTAATGTGACGGCTCGCCTGGATTATACGCCACATCTCCATGGCTTCATGTCGTAACGTGTGACGAGAGCCACGGCAGGTCGGAGTCGTAAGCCTCCGGAAAATCCGGAGTTTCGGGGCCTTGATAACGTTCCCGAAACCTTCCGTTTCGGGAACAGTGTCGACCTCACCAAAACTGCGTACACATTGTGCGCATCATGATAAAATGCAAGAGAGGTTTACATAAGCGACACACAATTGTTTTGAATAAAATAATCCTGGTACTACCGATTTAGGGACCACCAAAAATTCAAAACCGGATCTGCACGTGATATGAGATCCTGCGATCCTCGGGAGATCCCCGGACTTTGGTCTAGACCCTTTCTTTTCCTGGCGCATCTGAAAGCCTTCCTCGATCGTGCGGCAACTTCCGAGACCGGTCTAGACCCACTTCCTTTCCTGGCGCCGCTAATAGTCTCTCCTCGATCGCAACTTCCGCCTCCCATCAAATTACCCGATATGGAAGATATCCTCGGCAGCTTCGGCCTGTGTTCGACACTGCAAAGTTTCGACGGTACAAAGTCATTCAATGTACTTCAGCATCTCATAAGGCATTCAGCATGCATATAATAGTTATGGTAATAATTCTAGTGTATATTATTATTATTTTCCTCCAAGTGTACCAAGTGGAGTTTTCTACGCAACACGAAGTCGAGCGGGGCCCGGTTTGCGGGCTGCAGGTGCTTGAAATTGCATCTCAAGTCCCGAGGTGTATTTACGCTGGTGTCCTCAGGCCGAAGGGAGGGAAGGTACAGGGCGGGAAAGGTGCGAACGCACGTAGATAAAAAAGCAGCTGTCAATCGCTTGGACCGGATGCCGGGCTGCCGAAGATAATTTCCGAGTCGGGTAATTTGATGGGGGGCGGAAAGTCAAGAGTGCTAATAGTCTCTCCTCGATCGCAACTCGATCGTGCAACTTCCGCGACCGCGGTCTAGACTCACGGCTCCAGACCCTCCCTTTTCTGGCGCCTCAGAAAGAATCTTCTGTTCGGTCGTGGTAACTCGGGACCTACAATGTGGGCACCACTGTTTTTTTTTGGAGCGCGCGGCCCTTTTTTCATGTCCAACAAGTGCAGGCTCCGAGCCATAATATAAATTTGAGGCGGCTAAGAGGTGCCACCCGGAGGGCCTTAGGAATATTCAAGTTGGATACAAATTGAAACTAATGACTAATACACGGTTGCAATCGCATTCTGCATGTCGCTAGTTCGCCAATCCTTATTAAGACACCAGGTGGCACAGGGGCGGGCGGCGGTGATGCGCGAGCGGGCGGAGGTGCGGGCAGCGTGGGGCGGCGATAAGCAGGCGGCGGAGGGCGAGCGAAAAGGACGCGATTACACAGGGGGCAGGACAGTGCAGGACTCGGAGCTCGAGGGCGCGTGTCAACACCGCACAACATGTCTCAGTGTTTTGAACCGATGATTCAGTAGGCCCGGATCTGGCTCCCGAGATGCCGTCGGAACTCAGAACGCTGAAGGTTCAAAGTTCATTCGTCGCAATCCTAGAGGCTGTTGCTAACCCGAAAAGAGATTATCCGTTTGTTCGGCATGTTGAATTTCCGGTTTCCCCATGTAGCTAGCGGGTAGCGAGCTGCAAGGCGAACTGCGCTTTAGCGAGTGGTGCTGAGAGACGAGATGTTTGCACCCACGATCTACAATAAAGCCCCGTACATCCCATCCGTCGGTGACCACGCTCTCGTCATTATCGCCATAGATACTATTGCTGTAGATTATGCCTCCCTTCCAGTTCTTCCAGAGATTGAGGAGCTGAAGAAATTCATCGAGTCAGACAGTCAAATGTACATGATGTTCAATCAGATGTTCATGGACGACAATGGTTTGCCTTTGGCACTACATATACGCAGTTCTGTTTCTCCGCTGAAACTCGCCGCGAACGACACCTAGGTTCCGAACTATCAGCGGATGCTCCAGATACTCAACAAGTGGCTTCAGCAATCACCGGTCTATTTCGAAATCGACGACTCCCCAACTCTTGTCCTCAGGAGCACTAATCGGATTCGCTGGGTGAATGTGGGCCGGCAGGAGAAGGAGAGGTTGGGGCGCGCTTAGGCCGAGGAGGTCGCGGATGCGCCCGAAACCCGCGCGGTAGGCACACCAAGTGCCTCCTAGTGCAATGTCCTGCCGAATACTCCAATCGGGGTATTCCTCATTCTTGTCCACGGTACGTAATGAGCCATCCTCTGCTCTGTGAGATGAATCGCGTCAGGGATCTGAAAAGCTGGAACGTCGGGTGTCGGTCGAAGGTTGGGCCAGTCACGTGGAGAAAAGTCTACCCGGAGCGTAAGTGTCGGGGGGCCAAGAAAGAGAGGCGGAGGATATAGACACACGTGGGCGGGACGAATACCGCGCCAGGTGTAGAGCAGACGGGAGCGGCTGTGAAGGTATAGAGCGAGGGCACGTCCGTCTAAATGATCCTCTCTCCATGATAGTTGTTCGGCAGGGAACACTCGGATCCCGCATTCACCGGTGAGTTCAGAATAATTATGTCGCCCCATAAGTAAGATCTTTCTAGCACTCTATGGCAGCATGGTGTATGGTGCACGCGTGGGTCCTATATGCAATGTGGTCCAGGAATTTCTCCCAGGTCCTCGTTCGATTCGAGGTGCTGCTATATACTTGAACTTCCTATGTGTTTATTTGTTTCGCTCACCAATTTCTAGCACCCCACCGATCTCAAAACAGGATAAAGAAAGCAGTATGGTGTATCGTGCACGCGGGGTTCCCTTATGGGACATTTTTCTGTGATCCCCGAGGTCCTCGTTCGATTCGAGGTGCTGCTCTCAGTCTCGAGGATTTCCAACTCTTTTATTCCTGGACTCGGAAATTTTGCTAGCACCTCACCAAGATCAAGACAAGGTAAGAGAAGCAGTATGGTGTATTGTGCACGCGGGAGTCTCGTACGGCGTAGGCAAATGGATTAACCCCGAGGTCCTCTGCTGTCGCTTTTTATAAAGAATTACCCAACTCACCAGGACTTTCTAGCCCACCTACCTCTAAGCAGAGCAAGCAAAGTAGTATGCTATATTCTTTACACGGGGCTTCCCTTTGCAGAGGATCAATTCTTTTTTGGGGGTGGCCCCGAGGACCTCGTACAAGTCGAGGTGCTGCTCTAGTACCGTTATTGAAGATACTTTTTCATTCCTTGGCTCACAAATTCCTCTAGTAATCCATTTGCACTGCGAAACATGATACAGGGAGCAGTATGGTGTGTGGTGCACACGGGGGTCAATTCAATCATTGGAAAATGTGTTCCGCTCTGGGGTCCTTGTCCAATTTGAGGTGCTCTATTACAAAAGAAAGTCCCACAAGATTTCTTCGAGGTCCTTGTTCAATTCGAGGTACTGCTCTTCCATCTCCACTTTGTTTTGTTCGTCCTCTCACTTTCTTCTCTAAAACAAGTTTCTTTCAAAAATTCACCGCATAGTTGAACGACTGAACCGAGATCCGTCCATGCACTCCATTGGGAGTTCTGAACGGCCCATAATTTGGACTTGGAAAATAATGTTTTTTTCCGCCCGGAACTTTCGATATATTCAGGAGCGGACAGGATGTTTGTGATGTTCTATGTCGTAGATGTCTAGAAGGTACCTCTGTGTGTCCCATAATGGGCGAGTTTACCTTTTTCTGATTCTTGGTGATTTTTGAAACCCAAAAAAGATGTATTGTACAGATATTCATCTGCTCGGCTCGTAATTATAAGACTTTCTGTCAACTCAGAATTGTATTACACTCAATCCTAGCGCTCTAGGAAAGACAACTTTCTTTTTCAGATCTCCAAAACGGGTCTGTTTTGTGCGTTAACATCCGATCAAAATGACCTCTTTCGCCCGCTCTCCTCGTATCTCATGCTCCGTCGCACCTAGCCGTCTGAAACTGTGCGAGTGACCTCTCCGTGTATCCTCCTTGATATGACCCTGCAAACATTGCACTATTCCCGTGCGATGCGGCTTACCAGCGCCCGCTTTCGTGCTGCTACCACCGGCTTTCCTGCAGGTGAAATCATTCTTTGGGGTCTGGAAGATAGCATGAGGATGTTCCCTACCGCTGATGTGACAAATAGAAAGGTGCGCTACATTTGATTCAAGTTCTCGGATCGTATTTATATGTTCCCTATCGGGAGTGCGCGCTTCGCGCTCTCCCCGGTGTCCTGTCCATGGGAGGTGAGTTGTATCCTTTTCTCAACACACCCTCCATATATCATGCGATGATACGGTGTGTGGATCCGTGCACGGTTTGTGCAACGCGAACGCCGGGAGGAGCGGTGGACACGGTCAACTGCGCGCTGCGTCGACGGGAAGAGCCGTTTGGCTGTCCCACACCCGTAATTGCCGATGCAGCTTTCGGCTGGGGACGCATGATACCAACTGTTTCGGCGCGCAGCGAAACAGAGACGGTGTTATGCTGGGGCGGAGGATAGTGAGGCACGCGAATTCAACACACATTAAGTAATAAATAGTGCAGCGCACCTAGGTACACAACTCGCTCGCTGCGTGCTGCGGAAGCACCCCTCAGCGCCGTGGGGGCGCAGCACCGAGGGGCGGTACGGCTAGAGTCAAGCACGACGATCTGGGCGCGCGGATCATCATCTCCATGCCCCGCGCATCGAGGGGCGGATGTGTGCAGGCTCGCACTGACTCGTCCCATGAGCAGCGGAGTGCCACGGGCGATACGGCTAGCTCGCGCCGTTGCGTGGTTCACCCGCGCGACGTATGGACAGCTGTGGCGCGGTTTGCGGCGCGAAGGCGCGGGACACATGGGTACGCCGCAGCTTGAATCGTCGCGTGATTCGTCCTCGCGGTGCGTGAAGTCCTTGCTGCGGGGCGAATTGAGTGGTACACGTGCGCTGCTGCCCTGTCGGCATGCAAGGAAAGCACGCACCGACACGAGCGCGCAGTAAGGCACGGGATGCAGGGAAGAGCGCTGCGCAGCAGCTCGTTCCTGGCGCAGTTCACCTTTCCTGCGCGTGGCGCGTGAAGGGGGCTGCCGCGCGCCGGAATTGAATGGTACGCCCGCGCCGCTGCCCCTGTCGGTGTGCCACGGAACTAAGCACCTCCACGACGCGTTGACAGTGGGCAAGGCAGCCTTTGTGCGACGCAGGGCAGAGCAGACACGGGCAGCGCGCGCTAGCGGGCAAGCCCTAACGCGAGGTAAGTACCGATATTGGAGTGGAAATGATGCTTTTCCACCGTTCAATAGAAGTCCATAGATTAACTATTTTACTTAATAGTACCTCTATACCGGGCCTGGGATCTCAATTTTTCTCGTGATTTTTGGGGCCCAATTCGTGCTCGTCGTTGCAGACGACGTCAAGAACAGTTTGATGACTGTTGTCCAAATGCGGATATTAAGATCACGACAACGACGACGGCGAGTTCATCGTGTATGGCAGGCTGGGCACTGCCCACCTTCCGAAAGGAAGCCCTCTAAGGTGATACATCACCAGCTCTTCTGGTGAGAGCGTGGATTCATCGCACATAGACCTCTCATTAGAGGTTGCGATGTATCACTCCCCCAGGATGTGGTGTCGAGCCTGTACGCAATCCACCTCGAGGGAGAGCGCGCCGAGCTGGCAGATCACCAGGTGCATACAGTGGGGGGAGCAGCAGTCGGAATAGATTCCCCTAGCGATCGCAGCGATACGCGCTGCGTCGCCCCCGCACGCGAGATCACCGGCGCTCCATTCCGACGCAACCCATCTCGCCGAGGATCGTGACGACCTCACCCGCGCGGCTCGATAAGCTGGTCCCGCGCTGACGCTCCGCGTGCGGCTCCTCCACGCGAAGATCCACGTTCCCAAATTCAACTTTATGAAGAGTAAATATTATGGAATTCAACTTTCGTCAACTGCGGTGTCCGATATGACCTGGAATGAATTGACATGTTCCTTCAATACAGTGTCAGAGTCAACCATGAATAAAACTCGATGTAATCTTTTTATCTGTTTGCTCCAGTCTGGAGGCCCTCGCAGGCGTGAGCGTCGATAAATACTGTATCATTTCATGAATAATTGAATGCGGCCGGGAGGTGGATGACTAGTAAGGTGGGAATTACTACTCTAAAATTAATACCCATGAGTCAGAAGCCCCGCATAATATTTCTGTCTACACCACGCCGCGCGCGACTCGAGGAATGCATTGGTGAGACTTCGTGTGATAATGGTCACATAATGATGCCCGTGATCTGCGGCCGACGATTGCGGCGGGCGTGGGGTGATGGCCCGTTGATGGTCCGAGTCCTATTCTCCAACGCCGAGTCCCATTCTCCTTTCCTCATCGTCGCGTACTGATGATAAGATTGGGCGAGTCCCAGTCCCATTCTTCTAGTATAGACTCTTATATTATAGAGGAATTTATAGTGTCCCGAAGCTTTTCACGGCTTACGAAATGATCCATTATTGTCTGGAACGACAAAGAGGGATATTAGCGTCATCCGTTCGCTTGGAATACGGAGACTAACATGTGTATAAATTCGCCCGATTGGGAGTGTAAACAGCGACATCATGTACGTGTCAGCCGAGAAACGGGATGAAAAGAGGATTCCCAGTGCAAATACGGCTGATACTACGTTAGATGCTTCACTATGGAGCGCTGGACTACTCACCTGTGAAGAAACCTGATCGCACTGCGGTACGAATCAGGCGATCGAACACCTTATCCGTCCTTGCGAACGTTGTTTTCGATTTTGTGTAAACAACGGTGAGCACAACTCAAATTAGGACCTTAGCCCGCAGTGTCATGCGACAAGGAATAGATACAGCTCACCAGCGATGATCACGTCAATGGCACACTGAAGCGCAGAATTGACCATAACGATTGACTGCAACAATATGAGGTTGGCCTGTCTGTGGCTTTGAAATGACATTGGTCCCGGCAACTGTTGTGCCGTTAGGACGATATGTACGCACTCGGAAAATGGCCACGCCTCGATTGCAGCGGCAACGGCCATTCCACAGGCCGCCACAGAGGTTGCCACCAAGAACCCGGTGAGGATTTTGTTTCCGGTGAACAAATATATCCTCCATGATTGTAACATTTGATTTGTGATTGCGAGGATGGCCCCTGCTGTAAGGGGTTGAGTATGGATGGGGCGAATGGGCTTTGTCTTACTAAGACCTGCGAGGGATGCGGCCATAGAACGACTGAATAA